CACAATCAAACTCTCTAAAATATAGCAATTATTTTGATGTGAGCTGTAGTAGTTCTTTTTCAATGTTATACTCAACCTGGAATAAAAAAACACCCTTGTTTTGTAACATTGCCATCCTAAATTGCAATTCATATTGAGAGATCATTGAGAGTACAAAAAGAAAAGAAAAAATAGTGTAGGTTATTTAATACATTGCTAATAATTTTTGAACATATACGAACATCAATGTATGGAAACAACACAGGGCACTAAGATGTACAACAATGTAATAAGAAGGTAGGCAAATACCAAAATAAATCATGCTAAAATATTTGGTTGATAGAGTTTCCAAGTATAGCGTTCAATGATCTCAGCACTTCGAGAAGACGCTAGGAAGGGCAAGGCAAAATGAAAAAAAAATATGAATTTGTAGTTTAGAATGGAAAAAGGGTGACTTACGAATTTGATGATTAGAAAGGGCAGAAAATGGGAAGACGATAAATTCATTTGTAACCACTGCAAATAAAGGATTGGAGCGGCTTCTTAATACATTTTTTCTTTTCTTTTTTCATTTATTTGTTTTATATCTTCCTTTGTTCTTTTTTCTTTTCTATAGCTTTATACTGTATGTCTTACATTATTGTAATTCATATTTTAATTTTAAAAATCTATGGGCCTGACATATCCAGAAGAAGGAAAGATGGAGAGACTTTCTCATTAACACAGTGTTATGAAGTGGCTTGCCTGAAGATGTTTGCAGAACTTAGGTCATGGCCAACCACTGTAGTGTTGTAAAGGGTTCCTCCTGAATGTTTCTACCTGACCTGGAATATTAGGGTTGGAACAGATCTTGAAGTTCTTCTTGTCCAACTCCCTGTCCAAGCAGGAGACCCTACATCATTCCAGACAAACGACTATCCAATCTCTTCATGAAATTCTCCAGTGATGACGCACCCACAACTTCTATAGTCAAGCCATTCTTCTTGTTAATTGTTCTCACTGTCAGGACATTTCTCCTTAGTTCCAGGTTGGGCCTCCCTTTAATGATCTTCCACCCATTGCTTCTTGTCCTGCACTCAGGTGTTTTGTAGAATAGGTCAACCGCCCTTCCTTCTCTGTGACAGTTACTCAAGTACCTCTGTTTTTTTAAATATGTCCTTTCTATTCCACCTACATGTTTAGGTTTCTGCACTACTATTCAGAAAACCATTTCTTATTTTTTAAAGTCCAATGGAGTTAAAGCTATGTTTATAACATGTATGCATATGTTGTATTATTAAAATATGGCAGAGAACTAATTCAAATCACTTTTGTCCTACACACAGATGCACAAAAACACTCTTCAGTGTCATCACTTCCCCTGTTGCTAGGTAAAATATTAGTATAGATTTAAACTCTAACCACATCCTCAAATCATGCTCAGCTTTATTCTGTGTTCCCACAACACCTCGAATCAGAACAATTGCAAATGTATGCAGCTGTATTTGCATAGGATACTAGTCTTAACCATGGTTATTTTTTGTGGCTTTGCAGTTTACAGTGTAACTTAAACAAGAGGGTTTCCTCAATAACTAAATTAAGAATATTGTGTACCCACCACCATTGTACAATTTGGTTGGATTTAAGATATTGTATGAGTCCATCTATGTTGGGAAGAGAATGAGTTTTCACAGCAATTGGCTGGAGTGAATTATGGCCCCATTCATTAGCCTGCCTTCCTTTGGAGCCCTGCAAGGCCTCCTCGGGGCCAGTGTAAGCCTCAATTCAGATGTTTGCCCACCTAGAACTCAAATGATGGTGGAAACCTCAAGCTCTCATGAAATGATGATAGATCCCTTGTTAATTCCTACTTCTTTACTGTTCTTAGCACAGGATGGGCGACTGGGGCTTCCTGGAGAAGTTACTGGATCAGGTGCAGGAACATTCAACAGTCATCGGCAAGATCTGGTTGACAGTCCTCTTCATCTTCCGAATCTTGATCCTGGGTCTAGCTGGGGAGTCCGTTTGGGGGGATGAGCAGTCCGATTTTGTGTGCAATACCAAGCAACCTGGCTGTACCAACGTCTGCTATGATAATGCATTCCCTATTTCCCATATTCGTTACTGGGTGCTGCAATTCCTCTTTGTCAGCACCCCAACTTTGCTCTATCTGGGACATGTCATGTACCTCTCCCGACAAGAGGAGAAGCTAAAGGAACAGGAGAGTGAACTCAGGGCATTACAAACCAAAGATTACAAGGTGGCAGCTATGCTGATGGCAGTAGAGAAGAAGATGGCCAAGATCTGTTTGGCTGAAGATGGCCGAATTAAAATCCGTGGGCCTCTGATGTTTACCTATGTCATCAGTGTGATCTTCAAGACCATCTTTGAGGCAGGTTTTCTTCTTGGCCAATGGTACCTATATGGCTTTGTCATGCATGCTAACTATGTGTGCAAAGGTTCTCCATGCCCACATGTTGTAGACTGTTTTATGTCCCGTCCTACTGAAAAAACCATCTTCATCCTTTTCATGCTGGTAATGGGCTTGATCTCCCTTGTCCTCAACGTTCTGGAGCTTCTCCATCTCTTTTGCAAGCACCTGGTCAAAAAGGTTAAGGAAAGTGACTGTTGCTCCCCATCTTCTGCTCCCCCTCTACCCTTCGATGCCAACAGCATTGGTAAAATGCCAACAGGGCCTTATCCACCAGATAAACCCTATTTCTACCTCCCCATGTCAGACAGGCATGCTCCACCCTACCAGGGATACAACAGGCTTTCCAGCGAACAGAACTGGGCCAACTACAATACAGAAGAAACTCTGGCCTTGCAAAACCAGATTAATCCTCCTGATCTCTTTGCAACAGGAACCCCTAAAATCCATCTCTCTCCAGAAAGGCAGTCCAGCCGCTCAAGTAGCAGTGCTTCTAAAAAACAGTATGTCTAGCAAGCAACCATTTGAAGTTTAAGTTCCATGGGGGGCTTCCTTGGTAGCAGCCAGGTTTCTCTCAAGGGTCTCTTCATGTGGAAGGCTCCAATATGATTCCTTAACATGGAAGAAAGAGGCTGGACCTCAGGATTCTTTCCAGGTGCTTCCCAAGTTTTTGCCACAGTATTCTATTGCCCAGGTGAAAACCAGGACTTGACGATAGATGCAGACTGAACTTGTAGATCCATCAAAAGTGTAAAAAGACACATAAACAATCTCATAGAAGCCATAGAAGTGGCTGGTTAATGGGCATTTTAAGATGGGAGTGCTAAATGTTGATTCCTGGGGAAAAACATAAGTAGTTGGTCTGTACTTCGAGGTATCTTGTGAGATCAGAAAACAGCCACTGAAACACAAAGGGAGGTGGGTAAGTAGAAAAGAAACCAGCTTTGACTATCCAAACTGGGTTTCAAATTTTGGAAGTAGATGCAAGCTGAAAAGGAGGGTGCAGAATAAACTCAAGGAGAAACGTCTGGTATGTCACCTTTTTGGGAATGGACATGTGAACAAATTGAGGAAAGTCATTTGTCAAGTAGATTTATTTTCATGTTGCAATTGTCAAACTTCTGAGCAGCTTACTTATTAAATACTGCAGCTCATCTACCTTTTGCATATTGTTTCAAGTAGGCATTAGGGAGAATAATTGCTATTGCTCATGTTATCTTATCAAATATGACTCCTATTTAAGTTTAGAGCTGATATGACTTAGGTCCTCTGGGTTACTTTATAAATGTCTTCCATCTAACAGACTAGAAAAGCACAGTTTTCAATCTCACCATATTTGAAACTACAATTTCTGTCTCCACTGACATTGGGGTGAACCTTTGGTCTGCAAAGCGGCTGTCTCTACATTTTTTTCCTTCAACTGGTAACTCGGAGAAGTTGAATCAAAACTGTTCACTATGTAAATTAACTCCCCCATTCTCAGTCTCCTTGTTATGTAATTCCATCTCCCATTCTGTCAGGATACTTTTCTGGAAATTGGCCTTCCACAAGCTAAATGCGCTTCAACCCTGTTGGGGCTACACATCTCCAAGTTTCCAGCCTGCTGGTTTGGGATGCTGGACACTGAGATCCCAGCACATCTAGAGGATACCAAATTATGAAAAGCTGCAGGAGGCACACATTTCTCTTGGTTTTAAATGGATCAGAACCTCATCAGAACTTCACCCTGATAGTTCTGTGAAGCCACATTCCTCCGTAGACAAAAGACTATTGTGTTATCTGAACTTTATTCAGTATAAATTGTCCATTGATGATACTCTCTAAATATTGAAAGCTATCTGGCCTTGTCCAGTGTAGCTGCTCACCCAGCCTTCCCATTGCAATCATTATTTGTGCAGGAGTCTGGCAAACAAAGATTGCTTCTGGATGTTTGAGGTCAATATTGTGTTATATGTGTATCCTTATGAATCATTGCAGTGGTCAGTTTCTCTCCTGGCTTCCTATTTATACCTTCTTTTTTATTATGTGTTCTAATTCTTTCACATCATATGACTATAAGCACAAGCTGGATCCTTCAGTGTTAAAACCACAATTTCTCCTGCAATGGGAAAATAAGGTGGATTTTTTTTTTAATGCTCATGTATCAGCCTTTTTGGAAAAAGTTCCTGCCTCTCTCTAGATTAAATCAAAAGAGTGGGGTGGTTTGAGGGTTTTGTGTTTGTAACTGCAAAAATATATGCTCTGGAAACTGGCTTTTGTTGGTGCATGTGAAAAGCTTGGGATGGTTATAAAAATAGGATTGCACTCCAGCTTCAATCAAGAACAAATTGTGATAGAAAGAAATAGGGGGGCAAAGAGCTTTTTCTTTCTCTCTCTCTACTGAACTGTTTCTGATAACTAAGCTGTGAAAAGGAGATTGTTGGATGTAGAAAACCCACCTGTGTGCCTTTGATGGAGATGGCTCAGATCCAAATGGCCATTAAGAAGCTGGCTTCACGTCACCAGTTCATAACCAACGTTCATGCTTGCAGGGTGCAAGATGGAGGGCTATGGGTATGAACTCTGTGTTTGTGTCTTGTTTTTTTTTTTCTAAATAAAAAGAATGTTTTTATAAATAAAATGAAAAATTGGCAAGACTGTTCTGTGGGTCAATAGTACACCTTGCAGACTATATAGAATTGTCCTGATGAATGCTTCCATTCCATTATAAGATTCAAACCATTGGACACAATGATTAAATATTGAAGATTTAACCAAGTCCCTTATAATGAACATACGTTTTTGCAGAGCTTCCAGTGACAGAGGATATAACACATATATTATTTGAATGTCAATTATGTAAGAAAGTGAGAGAACTGTATCTTGGACTTCACATTAGATAAACAACCTATTGGGTTCCTTATATTAAAACAATATATTACACGTAGGTGTGAATGATACATGGATATCTGCAAGGGAGGGGGGAGAGCAAATGACAAAGCATAAATGACTACATCATGCTAACAATGTGACTCATGTATGTGTGTGTATCTGACCTGTAATTATGCAAGGGTGGCATTTGATGGTGCTAGTCTGCATTTCATTGTGGTTTGCTGTCAACCACTCTGCAGTCTACAGTGATTATTGTTGTAACAAATCATCTTTTACAAACAAAACCAGTAATCATCCTTTAAGCTAACAGCCCAATAGCATAAAATATGGAAGATTTAACTAAGTCCCTTATAATGAACATACTTGTATTTGCAGAGCTCCAGAGATAGAGGACATAATGCATATATTATTTGAATGTCAATTATATAAGAAAGTGATCATTAACTTGGACTGCACATTAGATGAACAACCTATTGAGATCCTTGTATTAAAGTATATATTTCATGTGTGGTCAGTATTCACAAATCATGTACACTATATAATGCAGCCTTTTAGCTGAACCCCAAATTGCCCTAATTCTAAACCATGACTCACCACAAGTTGTGTTTCCATCTGATCAGATGGGAAACTCTGATGACCATATTTAAGTGAAGAACCGGTGTCCTTTTTCATTGGGCCTTGTTTACACCTAATCCTGCTACAGGAAGGATCTGGTGAACCTTGGCTATGAACCTGGAATTGATCCTCAATTATTCACTGAATTGTTATTTCAGTGTTTGAGTTGCTAGAGTGTGTAGTGGAAGAAAAAGTGCTGTGATTGCGGCTACAATCCTATATCCATTCACTGGAAGGAAGCCTGATTGACATTTCTGGGGCTCACTTCTGAGTGTTGGAAGAAATATTCATCTAGTTCAGTTCCAAGCAGGAGAAAGACACTGGAAACACTGGAGGCTGATTGGAAAGAGGGTTTAATGAGGAAGCACAGCCAACAAGCACATGGTCCTAGTACAGCTGACCACGTGGAGTTGAGCGAGAGGTATTTATACCCTCTCATGGGCTTTGCACTTGAACTTCCTGTTCCTGTGCAAGAACATGTATTCTATTGTAAGGGTCACAGGGTCACTTTGAAGGCTAAGCCCCAGGGTTGCTGGGTGATGCAATGTCCCCAGTGATTGTGCCATGTGGTGATTTCTGCTGCTAGATGGGTTAATCCTATTATGTCCTGGAGGGTCATTTCTTAATCCCATCACCCTGGAGCTGGAGGTCTTTTGTCTTGTAGATAGCCTGGCCCAGTCTTTCTTAATGGGCACAAAATATCTCCCAGGGGCAGGGAGCTGCTTTCCGTCTTTAAAACATGTTTCTTCTTTTATCATCCAGGGAAATATAATATTCTGCCTTTTTAATATTTCTCAAAATATTTCATTCTTAACTTTTAACATGAATAAACCTGGAGAGCACTGCATGGTTAGCTCCAAATTAGAAGAAATCTGGTGGCACATTTCTGGCTAACATTTTATTAAAAGGCATGAGTTACAGTTCATGAACTACATTTAACTTCCTCCTTGTATAGAGTTGTGATGTAGATTTAAACTGGGATGAGGCAAAGGAGGAGAAGGAAAGAGAAGGCAGGTGAAGCAAATGCAGGTTATCCATGCAAAACATTACAAATACCTTATCAACTGATAGCTCCAGTGTGTTTGTTGTCATTTTCAGAGATCACCTGATGTCTCCACAAAGCTGATGCCTTTTAGTCAAATTTGTCAGCCTGAAAAGTTTCTGACTGATTCCTCCTGATTTTTGGCTATCATATAGTAACACAGCTTTCTTCCCAGAATACTACACAAATGATACATTGATTGAATTGTGTTCAAATTCCCATCTATTTGGAATCTTCAGATCTGTTTTTGCTGGAAATAGACAAAAAAAGTGACCTGTTCTTTGAGGTATTCTCCTGGCTGGAGCTAATTTGATGAAGGATTACAGTAGAATTCAGACCATCATCTCCCTCCCTTTTTAAAAAAAAAATTGTTCAAATGTGGAAGGCATCCTTGAGATCATCAAGACCGACCAATCCCTGCTCAGTATGGAATCCACAACTGTCCTGGAGTGTGAGGGGGTTGGCACTATGAAGATTAACAAGATTTCAAGACTAACAATCTTTTATGTCATAAACCAATGTGAGATGCATGGAGCTGATCTGGAGGGGACACACACATATTTTTTGGATTAATGGAAGAGAAGGTAGATAGGGAGGAGAACATCGGATGGGTTGCAAAAATCTGGATGACCAGTAGATGGCAGGAAATGCTTCCTTTTCTGTTTCTTTTTGCTGCCATCTAGTAGACAGTTTGTATTTTTGCAGGCTGATCTGGCAGCCTTGGCAAAAGGAGAGGGCGAGACAGCAAAGAAAAGAGGAGGGTGCAAACTTTGATAATTATTTATAGCATGACTGTTTATAAAATAGTTCCTAGGTGTGGCACAGAACTTCATTGTGAGTTGATCAACAACAATACAATCTCTTATCAGCAACTGATGAGGCTTATCTGAAAATGGTTCTTTCCCCTTCAATTGCCTAACAGGGCTAACTCTCTGGAAGGAAATTTGATAAAAATAGCTGTAGGGAGGAAGGGACTTTAATCCTTTCTTGGATGACATTTCTCCAATTCCACCCTTGCCCCAGCGGCTATTATCCCTACAGTGGAAACGATTTGGCAGAGTTCTTATAACACACTTAATCCTAAACTCAGGTTAACAAAACACAATTGCCGGACTCACCTAGCAGAGGAGATACAAAGGGAAAAAGCATCTCGTGACTTAACTTTTTTAAAAAATTAAAAATAAACTTTATTAAGATTAAAAAGAAAAATATGTACAATACATAGAATACAACCTTTCGTTACAAACGAAATCAATATACAACTACATAACAAATAAACATAAAAATAAAACATATACGTTTCTAATCAACTAAGTCGGTGTGATCTTTTATTGAAAACAATTTTGCTAATATTCAGTTCCTGTTTTTGGTAAACGCTCTTAATCTAACCACTTCATTTTTCAAATTCTTATCTTTTAATTCCCTGTTTTTTAATCTTTAATCCACTTATACCATTTTTCCCAAGTTGTACTATGTCTTGAGTCTTCCTTATCCCTAAGTTTTTGTGTAAGTAGGTCCATTTCAGTGCAGTCAAGAACTTTCTGAATAGTCAAATTATTTGTCAGCATTTGGTCACCCTTCCAGCATTGTGCCAACACAATTCTTGCTGCCGTAATTATATGGAGAATTAAATGTTTTGTTTCTTTTGCATAGTCTCCTTTTAACATTCCCAACAAAAATATTTCGGCCTTAAGTTCTAGTTGGATATTTGTAATTTCTTTTATCCAAATTCATTTTTTTCCAGTATTTTTTACTTTTTGGGCAAAGCCACCAAGTGTGGAAGAAGGTACCTCTTACTTGCTTACATTTTCAGCAAGTTGGACTTAACTTTGGGTACATATTCGCTAATCTTGAGGGTGCCAGGTACCACTGGTAACACATTTTATATTGATTTTCTTTATAGACAGCCAATTTTGTAATTTTGTTTCCAAACTTTTTCCCAGTCTTCCAGATTAATGTTGTGCCCTACAGTCCTTGCCCATGCAATCATTGGGCCTTTAACTAATTCTTCCGCCATTTCAAATTCTAATAGATAATTATACATTTTAGAAATTAATTTTTCATCCGTTCCCTCTAATATTTTATCTAATTGGTTCGGTTTTCCCTCAATTCCAAATTCTTCTATGTCTTTTTTATACCTCGTCTTAAGTTGTATATAAGGCCACCACTCTATTTTCATCCCTTGTTCTCTAAGTTCTTGATTTGTCTTTAATCCTCCTTGAGAATTTAAGACATCATAATATCTAATCTTTCTTCCCGTTTCTAAAGCATTGGGGTGGATCTCTGCCTCCATGACGGATACCCACCCTGGTATCTTCATATAATGTTTATGTTTAATCTCTTTCCACACTTTCAATAGTGATCTACGGATTATGTGCCTATTAAAGTGTGTTATTTCCAGGGTTCCACATGAAGGCATGCCACCCCGCCTCCAGATCATGCCCTTCTAGAGTTAAAATTCTTTTACTTCTCAGGTTGGCCTATTCTTTAATCCATGTTAGGACTGCTGCTTTATAAAATAGTTCCCAGGCGGGGAGTCCAAATCCACCTCTGCATCTATTATCTTGTAATGAGCTTGGTTTTATTCTTGCTTTATTCCCTAACCAAATAAATTTCATAGTAATTTTATTTAATTCATTAAAAAAAAATGTCTTATTTAATTGAAATAGCTTGAAAGAGAAATAGTATTCTTGGCAAGATGTTCATTTTAATGGTCACAATTCTCCCTAGCATTGATAGTTGTAGTTTTCCCCATTTTTCTAAGTCTTTTTTATTTCTAATAATAATTTAACATAATTATCTTCTTTTGCCGTGAGCCAAATTCCTAGATACTTAATTTTTTTAACAATTTGAATACCCATTACCTCTACTAATTTCTTTTTTTTCCTCTGTTAAGTTTTTTGTTATCATTTTGGTTTTATCCTTATTAATTGTTAATCCTGCTACTTCTCCGTATCTTTATTTAATCTTGGTCCTGACTTTATTGGTTCTTCTACGAAGAACACAAGGTCGTCCGCAAATGCTTGGGCCTTGTATTCTTCTTGTTT